GGTAGGTGTGGTGGAGGTACGAAGTGGTTGTTTGGGACCAATTTTATACTCCCTCGCTTGTCTGTATGAATTCGATGGTTTGCTTCCACTGGCCCTCTCTGAAGCTCTCCGATTAGCAAGTCTTTCACCTACCGAAAGTTCTTTACCATCCTGTCCGAGTGTAGTCGGTTCAGTATTTATTCTGACACGTCTATTAGTATTGTTCTGAGTTTTACTTGACTGCAAACTACTTTTCCTTTCTATCAGTGGTCTGCAATAGGCGAAGAGAACGATGTCTTTGTCCTTTTCCTCCACGGGATTTTCTGCAAATGCATCAGCAATTTGTTCTCTCTTTTGTTTTCTTATCTCAACGTCAAAAGTAAAATCATTGAGCCATGTTTTCCATTTTACTTGTCTTGAGGTTGGGTTCGGAGAGTCTCTTAACCAGTTCAGGGCAGGGCTATGGTTATAACAAGGAAAAGTACTGCATAGAGGTATGGTTTAAATTGCTCTAGTGCATACACCGTTGTGAGACAATCTAGTTCAGTTTGTGTGTACCTTGTCTCCGCATCTTTTAAGGTTCTTGATACATAAACGATTGGGTATTGGGTATTGGGAGTTTTCTCTCCATCCTTCCTGTTCATGGCTATTTGATGGAATCCACTGGCTAGATCAAACACACTAAAGTATTTAGCTCCTCCTAATTGTGAAAGGATTTCAGCAATGCTAGGTAAGGGGTATGAGTCACCAACTGTTTTCTTGTTTAGTTGTCGGAAATCGATCACGAGTCGCCATCTTTTCCTCCCTTTTGAGTCTGCCTTTTTAGGTACAATCCATAGTGGAGAATTGTATGGTGATATTGAGTGCTTGATTATCTTCTGTTCCAACATTGAGTCGATTTGTTTACTGACCTCTGCCTTGTGTTGTTGAGGGAATGGATACTGTCGTTGATGGATTGGAATGTCATCTATTGTGCGGACTTCACACTCATATTTGTTATGTCTCCCGAGACAATCGCCGGGTAGATGGAATACCTCATTGTAAAGTTGGATTAGTCTAATCCTTTCTTTATTCTCGAAGGTCTTCAGGTTTTGTTCGGGGAGATATTCTAACACCTTCCGTGCTCGTTCTATGTTGATGCCTGCTGAAGCCACTCCCATGCTGCAGACAGCTTCTTCTAATTCTTCATCTTCTTTCAATTGTAGGTGGTATGGTTCCAGGTCTTGTGATTCAAGATCGATGTCCACTGATGATTCCAAGGTGTTGATAACTATGGCGTAGGCGATAGTATTATCAGTTGGGACAACACACTCTTCAAGATAGGTTCCTTCTGGAGTGTTAATCCGTGGTAAATATCCATAAGCCAATCCATGTCCCGGTTTATAGGGACTTCAATAGCCATTCTCACTCGTGGAGGTATGGTGGTTGGCTTTCCTTTTTGCTGCTCATCATACCAATGTATTGAAGTATTTGGGTTCCTCGCTGTCACGATAGACCGATGTAGATATTTGATGTCTACCTTCTCTCGGACCAGGACATCAAGGCCCAATATTCCCATACCCTTAACTGGTAATTTATGATTAACTATGTGGAAAGCTATTAATGTTAAGATGAACTAAGCCGAAAGTGATTACCGGATGCTCCGTTATTCCTTGTAGAAAGGGGATCCTAGGGGGGTTCAATTTTCACGTGTGGAGCCAAGGCAATCTGTTCGATGAGATTGATGGCTGAACCGGTGTCGATTAGGAACTTTTGTTGTCCCCCCAAGATGTCCTTTGTTCTAATGTTAACTCTGGGGGCGCCTCCGGTAAGTCTAATGTTATTGTTGTTGTAATATTTTCTTTGGCATTTGCCCATACAAAAATGTAGTGGGTGTAGGGGGTTCAAGTCAAAGGTGATCGTTTCATCGAAGAAGGAGATATTTGCGTTCGCTTGCCTGAGAAATTCGTCCCCAATCTAACGGGATTAGATGAAAACGAATGGTAGCCTTTTTGCTCATTGGAATTATTATTGATCCCAGTGATTGCATAGAATGACTAGATAGACCAACTAAGGTGATACGATTTTTCGTGTTTCAGTCTGAGAAGTCTGTAAGTGACGTTTGCGTGATGAGATTCACCGATGCTCCCGTATCTACAAGAACGTCTACCCGATTATCTATGAAATTATCTCAGTTAACTTCTCAAATAATGAAATTGATAAGGATTACCTTCAAAGTTCTAAATGAATTCGAATAATTTTGATTCGATTGATTGATTGAATTTTCTATTTATCCACTAAAAGACAAGGGTAAGAAAATAGTAGTTCGTGTCCTACCGACTGCGCCAAAAATTTTACCTGTTATGTCCGGAGACGTTGTCCAACGTCGAAGGACAACTTGAATTAAATAATGAATTCTGTTTCCGAAGTTTGTTGTAAAATTATCGATAGAACAATGGTCAGAAGGATCATTGCGCTATTTCTTTTATTTTTATTTGTGGGACGACGTTAGTATGTTCTCAATCTTACCTTTTTTTATTCTGGGGATTTTATAGCTTTTAATAGTTTGTAGTTGGGATTTTTCGGGATGAGAGTGTTCTACGAAGATTTGGAGATGATTTAAAAAACCAGATATCTCTCTCTTGTATTTCCCGTGTATTTGAGTATTTCTAATCTACAAAGAATTTTTCAACCCTGGATAAAATCTTTTCAGATAATTATTTGAATTCGATTTACTCACAGTTCTCTCAGATTATTTGTCCTCCTTATAGTCTTAATATTTTATTCAATTATTTTGATGTAAACACTTAATTTTCAATAGTTTTTCTTAAACCAATGATGTAAAAGTCAATTTGTTTTCTCCAAAAAGAATCTGGATTGTGGTCACAGTTCTTTTCGTATAATTTATATTGGAATTGGAATTAATAACACCGGTTGGAATTAATAACACCGGAGTTTAGCGATTTTAGATTTAAAATACTATTTTCGGCTTAAGACAACAGTAGTCCAATCGAACACGAACAGTTCTCCAACTTGAAAGATCACCGTTGAGCGCCAAATATTGGTTCACTTCATGGGGTCCGATACGATTAACCAATTTTGTATGTATTTTAAATTTTATTTGGGTTCTTTACTCCCCAGAGGATCGGCTAAGACTACATTTGGATACTTCGAATTTGGACAGGCTGTTCGATGTAATTGCTTCCACGAGTACACTTTTTGTTGCAATATGGGCCAACAGTGCATTGGCCTGAAAGGTCATTGTTCCTGCGTGGTTGACGATTTTAACTTGTTCTTATTCAGCTAAATTTGTTTCGAAATTTTGATTTATTTTCAACAGCTATTGCTTGATTGAAAATTCCTTCACATGTTGCTCAATTTTGTGCAATAACTTTCTTAAAAATTTTATATATATTATACCTATTTCTTTTTGGACATTACAAGTTAAAATTAACTACCTAAATAACCTAATATTTGTGAATTACTCCTTCACAATTGGAATCGATTGTTAATAATTTAATGATTTGAATATTAGAACCAAATGAAAAATTTTAGTTCAGTTTATTTTTCAATATTTACAATACGAAAATGTTAATCATAAATTAATTAAACAGACAATTTGATGTTTGTAAATGACCCTTTACCAATTGGAATCAATTGTTAATATTTAATTTCAATATTGCACCTAAATTTAATCCTTTAAATTAAAAATTTTGAGTGCTTCAATCTTCAAGCATTTTAATCTTTAATTAATTACCTAAATAACCTAATTTTGTGAATTACCCTTTAACAATTGGAATCGAGTGTTAATATTTGAACTCAAATACTACCTCCAAATTTAAATTTTTTATGTGTCATATTTTTCAATAATCAACTTGAATGACTGAATAAAAACTAAAACATGAATATTTAAATTATATTTCGTTGAGGAAAATTACTATTATGAACTAACACATGTCAGAGAGGCTTAAATCAGGTATACCAATACTTTTGATTGCATCATTTGTTTGGTAATTATTAACATAAAAAAAAAATCATAAAAAAATGTTGTGAACAAATGGCGCCAAGTCGACGTGAATCTGATCGCCTCCAAGACAGAAACAAGGGACAATTACTGAATAGTTGAAATCACACAGTAGGCGAACTGATTATGATATAATCTTATTTTTAAAAAAACATGGAAACATTAAAAAATGCCAAGTTTATGCTGACAGCGTCAACTAGGACAATTTTCCGCAGTTTTAGTTCCGATTGGAAAATCGATTATTGTTAATAAAGGCTTTTGTCATTCCGGCTGTAAGACAGTATTTTACGGCTGCGTTGCTTTGGTTCGCGTCCACGAAACGCTGACTACGGCTGTTATGACAAAAAATAGTGGGCGTCATACGGCCAAAAAAAATTTGTCGACCAATATGATTGTTGCAAACCTTATCTTCGCTAGAAAAGTTTTTTTTCGGCCTAATGACAAAATATACTGTTTCAAATCCCGTCCATAGGAAATTCATTCGGAAGAAAGTCAACTTGGCGCCCCTAATTTTTCCCCTTCAATTCACTGAGTATCATTACATTGCCGGGAACATAGTAAAAAATTACAGGTATATTTTAGCATTTCCCTAGCAAGTCATAAATTCGTATTCGGTCTGAAGTCTCACCTAAAGCGCCGAATATTTACTCCTTTTGAGCGTGCGATATTCATCTGAGTTATGATAGTTTGCTTCCCGGATCTTAAGTTCAGGCATATATTTATCGTTATTATCTAACCACCAGAATTTTTTATTTTTGTTAAGTCTGGAGAAATCATTTTGATCAATGTTAGGAATAGCTCTGGAATATTTGAATGTTGGATTTGTTAGAGAACCAGTTGGGATTCGTTTAACATATTTATGTCGAGGGATGTGATATAATACCGGTCTGCTTCTGTGATCTTGAAACAGTCCGATTTTATCATAGTATGTGAAATACTGAGGCTTGATGTTTCCGCATCTGGCTCTAGATTCAGCCTCCTCATAAGGGAATTCAGCCAGGGAGTTTATTATTGGGTTGTCAATACTTTTGAGCTTAGCATAATAATTCCTAGCAAGTCTAAATATAAAATTATCGATTCTAGGTATCAAGGCCTGATTATATAAAAAATCATTCTTGACGCGATACTGAAAATTGCTATGAGGGGATCGATGTAAGAGCAACCAGGTGCGGAGACAATTTCTCTCAAATAATCTGAGTGTCTCGATCTGATGGGCCCCCATATTCCAAAGGACTTCGCAGGCGTACGTCAATAGAGGTCTAATTAGGAGCAGGTAACAAATAACCCTTGCTCTTTTATTCACATATTTATTATGAAAAAGGTAGCCAAGGGATTTGAATCTTCTTCGCCTTCTCTATTTGGATATCATTGTGTTTCGCACACCGGACTAAGGTATCAATATGTACTCCTAGGTTCTTGACCGAGTTACGATGTGGAATTCGGGTAGCTAACAGTGAAATAGGATCTGTGATTTTTAAGTTAAATTCTCTAATAGACTTCTTTTGCTTCTGGAGTATCGAGCCATTATATCTCTAAATAAAATTGTTTCGCTTTTAGAGGGATTAACCTTTAAATTCCAAGCGGAATACATTTGGATGACTTCGTTAGTTAATAGTATATTATCCAACACGTGCATAATATATTTTTTGACTCGTGGGGGGTTTGTAACACGAGCCGAAGGCGAGTTTTATAATCCCACGAGTCGAAAAATATATTACGCACGCATTTCATACAAAATTTTATGTCATCGCGCCCGGAATCCGCGATTTAACCGAGTGAAGAGAGGTTAGAATCGCGCGATTGCGGGCACCGATGGCATAAAAGGTTCAATTTTAAACATATGTCTTTAGGTTGATCTCCAGCTACGTAGAGGACTCGGTCATCCGCATACGAAATGGAGAATGTATCATTGTTGGAGTTGAAGTCAAAGGCATTAATCATGTTTGATGTAAATAATGAAACTAACAAGGGTGAGTTGATCGTGCCTTGCTGAAGACCCTCTAAAATGTTGAATTTTTGGCTAAGCTTATTATTATTATAATTGATCACTTGAAAGCTTTTGCCATGGATCATATTCCAGATGGTTCTCAATATAGGGATGGGGAATTTATTCTTAATTAAGATGCAAATTAAGCCGTTAATCCATACTGAATCAAAAGCCTTCTCTAGATCCAGGAGAACAGCCCCAACAAGGTTATGTTGAAACAGGTTTTCATTAATATCAGAAATGAGCTCATTGACGGCATGTAGAGTGGAGTGTTTATTGCGGAAACCATAGTGGTTATCAGGTAGTATTTTGGTATTTTTTTCATACTTTAAAATAGAGTTGTTTATAGCGGCTTCAAAAACTTTGCTAATTGCAGGAGTGAGGCTAATAGGTCTGTAACTGACCGGATGAGTGATATCCTTCCCTTTTTTGATGCGTTGTTAAAAATAACTGAGAGATTGAAGACCATTTTTTTTGGTAAGTATTTTAAAACTATGGGTGGGATTTTGTCAGTTCCGCTTGAAATTTTATTAGGGACGTATTTTAGAATACATTTAACTGTAATAGGGGTAGTGAAGTAGTTTTCTACTGGAGAATCGAAAACTGCTTCAGAGGCTCTTGTGTGTTGATCAAAGTTCATCACAGTTTTATTAGAGAGTTCATCGCGGATCAAGTCCTCGGTGAACTCTTCAATTTTTGAATCAATTAGATTTTTAAGTCTTGAGCCATTATTATTATACCTGGGGGAATTCACTCTCTGATAATGGGCACCCATGATATTTGATATATCTTCATCATTGTTAATGACGAAATTATTGTTCACTATGGGAATAGTGTCAGAGTTACAGTTTGCCTCTGTTAGGAGGTCTCTGATATGAACATCAACTTTTAATTCAGATATATTCTGCCTTTTTGGGCCTGAAAATACGGTTAATAGAGGGCAAGAATGCTTCGGAGTTTCTGAAATTAATTTTTTTATAAATATTCTGCCAGTGTCTTTCAACCGATTTTTGAAATTCATTGTTGAGTTTATTTTTACTAGTTTTTAGGAGTTGTTTTATTTTTATAGTTAAAGGGTGTAATTGGAGGGGGTCCTTGGTTAACTGCTTATGATATTTGGTTAAGAGAGTTGATTTTGCTTTTTGGAGTTTGCGAATTTTATTATTGGCATACTTTTTAATATTCCCAGTCTGAGCTCCCCTGGGGACTAGGGGACTTTTTTCTATAGCATTATTGATGAGAATAGAAAAATTGGAAACGTAATCGTCTATCTCATCGGTAGAGAGATTACGATCGTTGGGGACAATAATATTGTACTTAGCCTCCAAATAATTGTGAAACTGCTCCCAATTGGTGTTTTTGAAGATAAAATAGTTATTTTCCAGAGCTATGTTATCTGTGAGGGAAAAATTTTCATTTAATACGAATGAAAGGATAACGGCTTTGTGATCGCTGTCATAAATATGAGTTGGGACTTTGTTTTCGGGAGTATTAGAAAATTCCAATCTGAAGTCGGCTAGAGTTAAGTCCAGGAAAGACCTGGAACTGATGAATGTATAATCGGCTGGTGGGAGAATATTTAATTTGTAAGTTTGTTCGTTGGCTAACTCCGAAAGCCTCAAATTCCTGCCACGATCGTTACAAGCACGATCGCCATAATTGGTATGTCTGGAGTTGATGTCTCCCGTTATAATGTAGTAGTTATTATTATTAAATAGTTTCAATTCGTTGAACAGTATATTTAATTCATCAAAGAAGATATTCTTGCTTGCAACTTGATTCGGAGCATAAGTGCTAATTATGAATAGTTTTTTGTTATTTCTTGTTTTAATTAGGATAATTGTATATTTGAGAACCTTATTATTTTTGCTGTGGGGATAGTTTATTGTTTGAAATTGAATGTGTTTTCTAATCAAAATAGCTGTTCCTCAAGAAAATATGGCATTGTGCCGATCATTTCTGATGATAGTAAAGTTATCAAAAATAGGCTTTGTGATTATTATTACGTTTGGTTTCTCCGCGGCATGCAATGTCAAAATTATTTGTTTTAAGAAATTGTAGCAAGAAGTATCTTCTTTGCTGTTTGACAATAGAGTTAACATTGATAGAAGCGATATTTAAGTTCTTGATGAGCTGGGAGCAATTTTTATTATTGAGTATTGGGTTGTTGCTCACCATTTATATTTGTATTATTATCTAGTTTTAAATCATCGAGGATGATCTTGATATTTTGTTTATTAAGCTCAACCTGATCCATAACCGGTTTGAAATTTTTAGACATGGTAGTAACCATTGTGCTGATCATTTTTTCAGCCCACGGGGGCGGGGTATGAGAGAGGTAATATATGCTATTGATATTTTCTTGACGATTTGGATTATCCATTTGTACATAGGGATGGTTGGTAACTAACAAAGGAGATTCTGGGGTTTGAACTGGTACTTTTGGGCAAGTAATATTCTTGGGTTTGAGTGCATCAGCATATGACACTGTGTTATCAACTAATTTAGCGATTTTGTTAATTTTTGTAGAATTGTTAGTTCTAGAAATAGTGGAGTTAGTTCTTGCGCTCTCAAGAGCTTTCTTATAATATTGATAATTGGCAGGGTGACCATCCTTCCCACAATTGGCACATCTCAAGAGAGATTTAGGTGAATTTAGGTTTACCAAAAGGGCACTCTCCTGGGATATGTGCTTTGCTGGTCAATCAAACAACAAAAATAAAAATTATTAGGCGCCAGGTCATTGAACGGAATGACCACTGTAGCCAATATTATGATACTCTTTCCAATATTAATTGTACTCCTTCTCCACTTTCAGCTGCAACAGCTCCAGCAGCGCAATACGTAGAGATTTAATTAATCGGAAGCTGAAAGGGGATGCAATAGGGATTCTCAGCAAAATAAATAAATTATTAAAATTGTCGGGGAGAAAATGTTTAATAAAAAAAAATCAAACTCGATACAATACAAAAAAATAAATAAATAAATCCCCTTAAATCAACTAAGCGTTACTGCACAGAATTTAATTTTTAAAAGTCACTGTCGTTTATTTAGAATTAAATAAATATTTTTTGAAGTCTAGTGCGAATAAAAATCAAATAAATAAAATAAACAATCATAAGATAGTCAAATAAGTCAGAAGAAATAAATATTGAACAACTGAGTCACAAGACTCAAGTTGCGAATGTCAGAAAAGACATGATAAATTAATTAAAACTTAAAATTAAATTTGAGTTACGAGACTCAATTGCTAAAGTCGGAAAAGGCACAACGTTTTCTCAGAAATAATTTTCAAGAAATTGTCAGTAGTAATAACACTAGTGCGTTGCCTAGGAACGATGGTGTCTAATTTCGCAGGCTAAAAATCCCAAGTGCCAAGCACGAAGGATTTTTCTGCAAAATTTTACACCCTCGTTCCTAGGCAGGGCAGCTTGAGGAAAATATCCGATGAATTTTGGAGCACGACTGGTATTTGACGGTGTAGCCTTCGCTACATTACCTACCCGCGGTAGTGTTTCTATATTACCTGCAGGGCCTAGGTCGTACTCCCGTACGGTGGCACTGCGAATACCAGAGTGGGGAGCACTTGGGACTACGTCGCACGACGCTTCTCCCACTCTGCACTGGCAGCTATATAAACGCCTACACGAGTTCTCTCAACCAGTTTGTGTTCGGTCTTGCCTTGAGCGCAGAACTACCTGGCTAGCAGCTACCTCTAGCTAGCTCCTTTAGCCTTACCTTCTAGCCATCCTACGCACTCTCTACTGCCTGGACATTCTCTCCTTTCTCAGGATTGAGAAGTGGCCATCCCGCTGTACAAGACCGTGCACTCACCGCTATCGGTCCTTTTCCTCCTATTCCCGGACGCAGAGACGGTTGCTCTCTGTTTGTTTCTCCCCTTTGATATATATTTTGTTTTCATATATTTATAATGCGAAATCTGTGCTTCATAATTAATTAATTATTCCTTATTTTTTTTGTGCTCAGGTTCTCTTTTGGGTTCTGTGGATACTTCGAGAGTCGCAGATTGGTGTTTTCCGACGTTTGAGCGTTTCCAGAAGGAATTCATTGTCGATATTCGAATTGTTAGTGGATTTTTTTGTTGTTGATTATAAATTGTTATTGGATCTCCGTTAATAGATGCATTGGAATTCTTCGTGAAAACGTCACCAATTGTATTTTCTGAGTTTAGGGTAAAAGGGCCTGTAGTATTAACTATATTTTTCCAATAAATTTTATTTTAATGGGAATCAGCTTGTTCGTGTGATTAATGATGGAAATCGATCTTGAATTGTATTTACCAATTTTTAAGTCAAAATGCTTCTAGTATTAATTATATTTTTTTACTGAATTTTCATATAT